TGATTGCATTCACGTACAAGCAATTACATATGCATTCTCATAAGAGAATGTAGCTTAATGAATGTCGAGCTATCGTTACGGTAGACATTTTAGATTTTCAATCAACAGAGATCCTGCCGCGAAATTTTAAATTACCTCTACAAGGACGATGGTGGATGAGAGGCGTTATCCCAAACGCCTATGGAATTCAAAATTTATTTACGTTCTGAAAATTTCATAAATTTTAAATAAATTTCAATATTTTATGCAAGTGTATAACGTCGCTTATCAACAATCATTGATAATCATGTAGATCAAATGAAAAATTTTGATATTTGATATTGATTTTGAATTTGACATATGTCAAAAATTTCTTAATTTCTCTCCTATACAGTGCTTTTTTACTGAACTAAATAATGCACTTTCTGACAACTCGAGATTATTGAAGAAACGTGTATAATATATATTTCATGTCACTTATTGCAAACTACACATATTATATACGTAAAAATTACTTGAACCATACCATTGTTTATAAATGTAAAATAATATTCAATGTAACGCTTACTTAAATATTATGTATATGGCATTTAATAATACCATAACGCGTTTAGATTATTATATTTTAATGCATTATTAAATGATATAATAGTATGCTTAACAAGATATAATAAATGCATTGTAAATTCTAATACTTACAAATTATTAACCGTACCATAGTGATTTTCTACTATGCTTTTTTTTCATCGATTTCTTTTTAAAAAAGAATATTTTTCATCAATAGTACTCAAAATCAATTACTATGACTACAAAAAAAAAATACTGTAGAACATTATTTACATTTTATATTATATAGTGCATAACAGTCATGTCATAGATTAAATGATGTTAGTATAAGATTTAAGTTTTATAACAAAATCCATTCAAAATAATAATTGCTTAATTACTTCAATGTACAAACTGTTGACTTCATAACCTAATTTTATAATAGGACGAGCAAACAATTACTTTATTATCATTATTAATCGTTTATTAAAGTAGTTCTATTATTATATATATTCGTCCATGTATATATATATATATATATATATATATATACTCGTACATATATATTGCGCAAGAATTAAAAAAAATAAAATTTTGTTTTTGAATCCTATTTCCTCTCCCTTTTTATCCCTACACTGTTAATTCTTTTTTACCAATTTTTCTACTGATAATGCGACAAATTCTCCAGCTCTCCGAATTTTCACGTACCCATCTTTCGGTTCATTGATCATTATTTCACTCTATCTTTCTTTATTTCTTATTTCTTATTTCTTTCTTTCATTTTATGTTCCAAGCTCACTGCAACTACATACGCTATAGACTTTCATAAAAATTTCTAGAAAATGTTGCATACAAAGTATAACTTATTATAGAAAAGTAATTAGCTTACTTTAACCTGTAACCTAAAAATTAAGAAAAAATCCTATATATATTAAAAAATCTAATGCTTTCACAAATCTTCATTATACTCGCGAACAAAGATTTTTTTTATCATAGTTCGAGAAATAAACGATCCTTCATGTCGCAGATTTACCAACATATGCGTGAATTACTAAAGGGCTTGTACGAAATCTCTTCATTTGAAAACATTTTAAGTGCTGCCCTTATAGAGAAAATCAAGTGCTGCAATGCGTGATCCATATGTGGAGCATATGAGACAGAATGAGACGGTATTTTATTTTTATTATAATTTCAATACGTTCATCTATCTAGTTAAAATACATCTGTGTTCGTATATTTTAGTTTTTCACTGGCAGCTACAACATTACTTCTGTTATTCCTCTACTTGAACTAGCGAATACTTATCCTAGTATCTAAATTTCGTAAAGGCAGAATTGAGAAACAGATATTATATCTGGATGCTATTCATAATTGTATTTCCGGAATAGTAAATAATAAACATGAAATAATTAACGCCAGAAAGACTGATGTGTATAAGTTACACCATTTAAATGTAATGATTCCTACACAATAAATATCACAATTAAGAATTAATGCGATGCCACACTGACGAGAATAATCGACAATTTATTAAAATTACCTTCCACTAGTACAATTGCTCAATTAATGACTCTGAATACTCGCGAAGTAGCTAAAAACGAATTAGCTAAATTACGATTATCTTGATGAATTTATTTTCCCTTTCTTTAACTGTTTAGTTCGGCCGGAAAAAAAACATTCGGATTCAATCACGCAATATCATTATTTACGTTTATTTATAATGTTAGTATTAAAAAATTAAACCAAAGCATTAATTTTATAGGAACTTCAAATTAAATTTTTTTTAAACAGATATTTCATGAACAGAAACTTCCCATTTTTTAAAAGCGATGACTCTATCTGCCTATTGTTATACCTTATTATGTGATTAAATGCCATTTTTGTTCGACACCCTCTATCACTCATAATTTGCATTATTTCCATAATTTTTTAACATGTCAACATAATATTTTAACATGTATAATAATCTATTCCAATTAACATAGCTTGCAATTCTAGTCACGATAATAACATCACTTTTAAATGTACTTCGTGATTATTGGATTATTACCTTCTTTCTACAATGTAATTTGCGTCACTTTTAGTATAGCATTATCCGCTTTATTTTTTATCTTAATTCGTAAGCATATGACTAAGGCTAAGGATAAACGAAAACATGAAACCGAGCTTGATAATGTTAACCAATTTTATTTTATCAAACAATGCGATGCAAGACATCGTTCTAGAAAATCAATTTTCACTTTCCATTCTCTTCACTCGAGATTTTTTTATTACTTCGAATACCATTCCACCAAATGAGTGTATGAAAATGTTTGTTTAAAATAAAGTATGAGAATAAAAGAATTTAACTTTAAAAATATATCGAGAACATTTAGTATTTCTCTCTCTCTCTCTCTCTGTCTCTCTCTCTCTCTCTCTCCATATATATATATATATATATATATGAAGTAAAAGAGATTTATTGATGGTACCCTCGTGACATCAATTAACGTCCCTCTTTCATCCAAGGTGCTGAACCCAAATTTTCCAAGATTGGAAGTTGCAGTTTTCTTAAATTACCTTGATGAAATTGAGCTTTTATTATTATAATAATTTATGCATATTTAATTAATGGAATCTGTTAATAAAAACATTGGGTATTTTAAGATATTACGCAATGGAGATAAAAGATTGAAACAAAACTTCTTTTTATGGTTTCTTTTATAAATGAAATAGATAGTTATATTTATTTTCATAAGCATAATTTATTGATTATTATTTTTTAATGTTTCCAACTTTATATCATAATAAAAAAAATACTAGAATTTAAAAAAGATTAATATTAAGAATATTTTTAAAATATTCAAAATATTAAAAAAAAACTATGTTCGAACAATGCGACTACTACTTAAGATTAATTTTTTAATTAATTTGTAAGCAAATTTTTTAAGCGTAAAATTTTAAATATTATCCATAGAAATGTTTTATTTAAACGCTACAATTTCATATTAGAAAAAGGTAAGTGAATTATAAATCATAAGAAGATAATAAAATGTTTTGAGAACTATTATAAGAAAACTGAATGAAAAGTTTGAAGTAATATTTATATAAAAATTGAAATGTATTTTCAAAGTTACTCAGACTCAACTGTACTAAATTCATTTACCATAACTACTTTCGCCTTCTATAATTGTACTTTAAATTTCGAATCATTATGAAAAATAAAGAATACCTGGTTTTTTCCTGTACTCGTAACGTCCATATAATCATAGTTTTAGCATATCCATAAATATTAAAATCGCAAGTGTTTATTCCCATAAAGAATTCAAATAAACAAATACAGCACAATAATTATTAAAATGTATACTAGAATTTTGCTAATTTTATTATGTTAAGAACATAATTATTTATTTTTGGAATACAGGTTCGTTGTAAAGATCATTTTTAATTAAAACTACCAAACTTGCTAATATATTAAAATCTAAAATTTGAAAATTTTACTTTATCAATTATATAAAATTCTATAACTCTATACAAAATTTGTTA